CGACAACGACGAGGACGAGGACGAGGATGTAAGCAAGAGTAAGAGCAAAACCCCACAGATTGTGGTTGATTGAAGTTCCGGAAAGAGGGGCGACCACCTGACACAGACAGGAGGTCCTTTCAACTGAGTGCTGCTCTCCCGGATTCCGAAACGCGCGCATGATGCCAAAAAACAGCTCTCTGGTAAAGGTTCAGTGGCTTAAGCCTGCAACGTGGATGGTGCCTAGTGATGGCTCCCAGAGCCCGTAACGCGCTTGACTTCCCTACCCTGGACCGCTCTCAACGTTGTTAGTATTCTTCCTAATAGTCGTATAACTTTTGCGGTTTTTATTTCTATTGCTGGGACAATTCGCTCTACTATTGCTATCAATATTGCTTATTATCATTACTATCATTCTTAGTTACTATCACGGCCATACTGGAAGCGTCAGGGGACTTTTTAAGTAGGTTAATAATGGGGATAGCTGGGGTTACTATATGTGTTATAGGGGTTATTAACCTACAGTCCCCCTTAAGTAGATAGAATATGCAGCATATGGAGGTTTTTTATACCCAATAGCCATATTCTATGTACTGAAGGGGGACTATACATACTAAGTCCCCCTGACCCCCCAAGCAATTGCAGGAACCTTGCAGTCTCCCCGTCTTCCCAGGCTCGTGGGCCGCGAGGCAGAAATCGAACGAACTGTCCAGGCCTATAGCCCTGACGGCCGCGGCTGAGTTGAGGGTTTATAGGGGTTATATGGGGGTTATATATCCCTTATATAGGGGTATATAGCGCTTATATAGGGGTTATATAGGGGTTATATAGGGGTATATAGGGGTCTATAGGGGTCTATAGGGGTTATATAGGGTTAAGGGATATTAAGATCACCACAAGAATGGAGAATCAAATGGAGAAGAAAATTGAAAGTGACATGGAAACTGGGATTTCAGTGGTTTCTAGCAATTGGGGCTTTCCATCAATTAGGGGCCCTTCCTTGGAGTTTCTTTTACGATCTCGTTTATGATATTCGGATCTATAACGACCGCCCAATTTTATGGAAACTACCATTTCAGACCAGGGGGCAGTTGGCAACGGTGGTGGTCGTAGAAATCTGGCTTACAGGATGTCTCTAGACAGATGCAGATATGTTTCCAGGGCTTTCATTCAAGGCCTCCGCTTGCTTTCGATGCGTCTGGACGAACTCCTCTGTCAAGACACAGCCATGCCGCTTCTGGTCATAGCTTTATAGTCACCATGCCTCAAGTATTCGTAGTGTGACGCATGCGAGTCCCGGCCATTGTACTCATCTACCTAGAAAGTTAGACAAAGGTAAGAAGCATAGTGAAGAAGGATCAAACACAAGGCAAACAGAGATAAATAAAAAACAAATAGCACGAAATACAATACCAGCCGAAAGGAACGTGCCAGAGAAGTAGCTAGGACAGCACGTCCATTGTACTCCTCTGTCCTTACTCTGCTACATTTTATTCAAGGAGTTTCGTCATATTTAAACCATGAACTTCACCTGTTTTTTTGGCAGTCCCATGCCTTCGTCAACCTCTTACCCACGCAGTGCCCTTGAATCTGTTGGCAGATTCTGGCGCGGCGACAGAAGAACAACCCTGTGCTCATTGGAGAGCCGGGTGTCGGAAAGACGGCCGGCAGTCCCAGATGAGTGGTATTCCATTCGGAGATACTATGGTACTCAAAAGATTACCCAATATAGAGTAAGATTATATCCTCCTTTTGGGTATAGTATGCTCAGATTGGCACTTCCTTCAAAGGGGCAATCGGAATACACAAGTAAGGGGAGGATCAGGGGATTGAACGAGAGCATGCATGGGCCATTTAAGGAGAAGATTGTTTTGCTATGGGCACGAGGCTGTTTCATGGCATCCCTGCATGTGTAAGTGAGGTAGGTTCCGCGGGCAGTGAGACCGGGGGATGTATGTCACCTCTGTGAGTGAGATAAGTTGCGTGGGACGTTCCAAGTCGGTTTCTTGTTGCGTCGAGTGTATGACGAAAGCCGTGCAGGTAATCTCCAGCACTCCCTCGATGTTCTTCAGCTTGTCGAGTCAGGTCTTCCAAGCGTATGGCGTATGCGTACTCACACCCATTCCTAGGATGACTTTCGCGGACCAAGTGCGCAAGAGCGGTCACCCTTGCTAGCCATTCACAGCTGGCTGGGCAAAAATCACGGGGTTGGGAAGGTGTGACGATCAGACAGTAACCGAATCGGAAGCAAACAAAGGTCGTTGTACATTGTACCAGTCAGCTGTAGCTGTCTGTTGGCACAGTACTGCTGGAAGCCCACCCGCCCTCAGGAAGAACACTCCTTTGTGGCAGCGGAGGGTAGCAAGGAGAGCCAGTTTCAGGCAAAAGCAGCTGGTCACCTCTGGACTTTACACGGTGCATTTTTGCAGGGCATTGTTGAGGAGCGGACGTGCATGATTCCTGACCGCCCCGACCTGCAAACAGCAGCCCAGGCTCAGTTCTTGACATCTTTAAATCCACACGGTGTAAGTTGGAGTACCGAGATTGCGCAGTGTCCAGTTCCACCAACCCCTCACATCTGAATATTCCACATGAGCCGTAAATCTAATCCTCAAGTTTTTAATGTAAAGCCCATACATGCGTGCATCCCTAAATGCATATACATATACACACATATGTGATGGCTTCCTCTTTCTTTTGCACTACCAACGCATACCTAGTCCATAAGCCTTCAGCTCTAAAGCCCAACTTTTCACCCAAGGCCATTGCGGAAGGCTTGGCATACAAGATTGCAACTTCCGATGTGCCGGAGATGCTTGTGGGGCCGGGATGCCTAGACAAGTGAGCACATTTCCCTTTTAAAGCCCGTCGCTACTTCATGATGGCCCGTTGGAGGGAATAAGGGTTTTCTGGGTTTAGGGTTTAGGGTTGGGTTTAGGGTTTAGGGTTAAGGGGTGGGGAATAATTCTGGTTAGACGTCACTTTGGGAGAATGGGACTCCAACATGGGGTAAGATTCTATTCCCCTTAGTCTTACAGTGCATGGACAGAGGCTCTGCTTATGTACCTCGCTTACACTATGGTGGTAATATAGGGTTTAGGGTTTAGGGTTATATACGGGTTATATAGGGGATATATTGGGATAATGGAAAAGAAAATGGAAACTACTATTTTCTGAAGGGCTGCAAGGATTCGTGACTGTCCATTCAAGGGGAGGCTGCATGGAGTTTCACCTCTGTTTGGGGGAGGGCATGGCTAGTTACCGACATGGCTCCCTCATAATCCTACAGTACATCTAATACCTGACTAGTTAACAGGATTGTTCTCTCATAGCCTTACACTTTATAGTATAAGATACCCCTAGGCCCTACTCGAATTGCTAATTTGGGTCCCTAGATTAAGCGTCCTACATGTACATAGCGCTCAGCTATGATGTGCGTAGAGGTTGTGGTGGTGTTGGAGGCCGCAAGATCTTTAGAATTCTCAGTTTGGGGTGGGCAGCCTAGGGATTGTAAAGTGAAGTGTGTTATGGTACTATTTACGAATGCGGTCATTACTCTTCTTATTAAGGTTATTATTGTTATCGCTTTGGTGTTGTTACGATTGCGAGGGCTACTACTCCTCTGGCTGCTACCATTGTTATTATTACTTCCTTGTATTAATACCATTATTCTTATTCACAGTGTTACTAACTTTTACATAATCATCACAAGCATCTTCAATTCTCTCAAGATACCAGGAGTCCAGGCCGTATAGCCATGAGCTTTCCAAACGCGACGCTGAGCATTTCCTTTATCTTTCTATGAAGGGGGCCTGTTCATAAATACTGTTGGGGGCCCCAAAGTTTCACACATTTTTTTGAGAGTCCTAATGTATGGCTCCGCTGCATATGGCGGTTTGCCACAGCGGAGACGTTCACTCACTGCCATTGTGCCGAGGTCTGACCCGTGTATGTAAGGTACATAGAGCTCCAAAACTGGCAGCTTCGACAAGTGTAGTTTGCCTTGGGGTTTGGTGGCTAGGCCAAGGCACACGCGTAACCCTCGAATGTCCCCTGCCTTTAGTTCTTCTGTTGTGCTTGCCTTGTCAGGTCTAGCTGTAGGCCTTGTTTGTTTGTCACAGGTGTCGTTAGTGTGACAGGTGTTCAATCTTTTTGTGACTTGGGGAGGCACCTGACCTGGCCTCCCCCTATGCTACGCGGTGCAGCCAAAACACCTGCGGGACTACTGAGGGTTTTGCAGGATCCGGGGAACCTCCCTTCCACCCTGAGTTGAAACGCCGAAACGCTGCAGTTAAGCAGGTTTTAAGGGAGATCCATAGTCGGTTTGAGGATGACTAGAGCATTCCATGGCTGCATGCTGCCGAGGAAGAAGATCGTTCAGTTGGACCTGGCGATGCTTCTTGCGGGCACAAAGTATCGAGGTGAGTTCGAGGACGCCCGCCTTCACTTCTAGGATCCTACAGCTGCCGCCCCAAGGCTCAGATAAGGCCTTGCTATGTGTCATCTTGAAAGAAGGGGGCACATACATGATGTTTTTACCTAGTTTGGGTGGGTCTCCAAACCAGCGTCTATCAGAATCCAGGGCCCCATCCATGCCCAAGCAATGAATCTGGCTTCGTGAGGCCTACATGTCCTTCGGGCGTTCTGACAAGTTTGTCAACTCTAATGATGCAAGCTTTGAGTTGGAAGTCAGAAACCCAGACCAGGGAGATGGGTGCGAGACTTGAAGGCTAGGGGTGGCAAAGCCTTCAACAGAACATGGTATGTAACCCCCCATATAACCTTCTATAATCCTATAAAACTCCATATAACCCCATTTGAGATTGGGGATCCTAATTGGATTGAACTGTGGGATTCTTAGACATGGTCCTCTTCGTTGTGTTGAGTGTGCCTTGCATACAAGCATTTCTGTCAGCGCGTCCTACAGGCCAGCCGGGTGATTCGGGGAGTTTGGGGTTTAGGATTTAGGATTTAGGGTTTAGGTTTGGAACATTCGCCTTATATAGGATGAGCAGAGAACCAGCCTCTTTCCAGCTCCCATGGAAGACTTACAATGAGCAGCATTGTAGTACGGAAAGCATTCCGGTTGGTGAACGTTATCATCCTTTTGCCCCCTGATAGTTGCTCCGCATCCCCTGGGTCCCTTTTGAGAAACTCTACACCCTAATGCATAGTCCTAACCCTAAACCCTAACCCATATCCCTAAAAATTTTTTGAAGGTATCTTCCTAAACCCTACCCCATATCCCTAAACTCCCTTTTAAAGGCATCTTAAGGACACTCTGGGAAAGTCACACATCTGGTGTTTGTGAGGAGCGCCTGAAGAACGTCATCAAGGAGGCCCAGTCCCGTCCGCAAAGTGCCAAATCTTGCCATGGGGATCCTGTCAAAAGGTTATGTATATGGTGTAGGGTTTGGGGGTAAAGTTTTTTGTGGGGTTTAGGGTTTAGAGATCCCTTTAAAAGGTTGTAGGGGTTATCTGGGGGTAAAAAATATGTAGCACGTATATGACTTATATAGGACTTCATCTCTGTGCAAAAGGATTCGAGCATTTGGGGTTTTCTGTTGGGGACCCAAACTACGAAATCTTACCTTTCATCAGACCCAAAAAGGGATTACAAAGGCAACTTCATTTTGTAAAGAGCAGGCTATGTGGGGCTCCATGTTAGTTGGGGGGTGGATTTGCAAACCTAAGTCCTACTTTGATGTTCGTGTTCAATAGGAACTCTGGGCACAAGCTTACCCAATCTGTTTGTCCAACTGGGGTTTTAGGACTCAGAGTTCCGCGTGTAAAGTGACAGCTCTTACATGCGGGAAAGGCCAAACTGTCAACTTGAATCTCACAGGTTTTGAGGGCTTGAAGTGTGGCCGTTTGGCAACACTGTTGCGCACGGTTTTCCTACCGACATGGCCAGTTCCTGGGGTCCTACACCAACCAAGGATCCTAGTGGAAATAGGGGTATACTAGACCTCGATTCAGATAAGATAGGTAGAAGGAAATGGTCTTACCATGGCTTACAGCTAAGATTTTTATGTCATGGAGGAGCCTTGCCCTTGGAGGAGGTCACAGAACCAATAGAGACCGTTGCAGACTGCAGTCACCCAAGTCCTGTTGCCAAAAGCTGTAACTTTACAACAGTGAGATCTGTCATGACATGGCGATTAGAATCACAACTTAATGAAGGCCCTTCAACTAGGAGAGACAATTTTGCTCCCTCATTGGCTTAGTGTTTGGTTCTTACTGACCCTTGAATCTTAGCCCCAAGACTTCCCAACATACAATCTGCACTTTTTTTGGCTATAGTCCGCCTTAAGTAGATAGAATACGGGCTATATGGGGATCTTATTATAATATACCCAAAGCCATATTGTATCTACTTAAGAGGGACTGTAGGTAGTGGGCCTGCAGGACGATTTGATCCGGAATCTCACCAAGACGGCAGAAGATACGGAGGAAAATCCACAAACAACTTGCTGTAAAGTGAAGGCTCTTGTTGGTCATGGGCTCTGCCTTGAAAACGGGCCATCCTAATCGTGACACTTCCTTCAGGTTTGTGACCCAGAGCTCACAGCTCAGGGTCTCTTAAAGGCTCCGAGAGGACCCCTGCAATCTTACTTTGAGAGAGAGAGAGAGAGAGAGAGCAATATTGTGAGTGACCACTCAGCATGGTTTCTGCACAGGTAACTCTTTTATTGTTCCGTGGGGTGTATATTAAATTACCTATGGAGCCTTATCGCAAGAAGATCATCACTCCCTCATACCCTCTTGAAATAGGAGATGCCCAAATCCGGGAGGTTCTGGACTCTGAGAAGAATATCATCCTCATGATAGACGAGATCCACACTCTGGTTGGTGCTGGCGGCACCGGTGACGGAGGCTCCGGATCTGTGCAGGGAAGTCCTTCACCCGATGCCTTTCTCAAGCCGATTTCCGTGCTTTTTTCATGCTTCCAGGGGAGGCTGCCAAAACCCAAGAACTTGATTAGGGCCTGAACTCTAGAATTCTGGATCAGGCGGCAAGGCACTTTGGACTTTAGGGCCAGGCGTTAGGACCTGTGGGGTCTTTGGATGCCTCTTTCGCGGCTTGAGGGCCGACCATGGTGATGTGCAAGTCCAAGTTGTTACTACAATTATTATTACCGCTCTTATTATTGTTGTTACTATTATTATTATTATTGGTGTTCTTACTCTTATTATTCTCATCATTATCATTATTTTTAGAATTTATTATTAGTATTTTGATGGCAAGCTATGGGTCGTCAGGTGCTTGCACAAGGAATCCCAGCTGCGAGGAATGCCTGTCAGGGATCTGGTTCTTCTAAGCTGAACCATACAGCTGGTTCCATAAACCAGGGGCCTGCAAAAGAAACGCCGGCTGACTCATTCCCAAGCAAATGTTATAGTCCTACTTGTACTTGCTGTTCCTACCGTGTTCTAACCATGCTGCTGCAGCCTACTGCTACTGCTCTGTTTCTTCTCCTGTATTGTGGACCAGAAGTCTCCCGAGGGGGCGGCGGAGCCATTGATGCGGCGAACATCATGAAGCCCGCGCTGTCCCGTGGAGAGCTCCAGGCGTGCAGTTCGGATGCTTGCCAGGTTTTTGGACTTGTATGGGGATCTTTACTATGACCTGCTGGTCAGCATGTAGCTCACGCGTTTTTTCCAATTGCAACACCCTTTTCCCCTCACGATGAATTGCTATACAGAAGGTGAATTGGATAATGCAAGCTTCTTCTGAGGCATTATGGCTTACTGGGGCTTCTTTTTGGGGAGGTGATAGCTGGACCCCACAAGCAGGTAAAATGATGGCACGAAACGGCTAAAAACAGTCCAAAGGGTATTGCGACACATGTTGAGGGCTCGGGCACAAATCGCAGTAGTATTGCGATGCGGTCATGGCTGGTCCCTGCTTAGCCAAAGGCCCAGAGTCCCAAGCATGATGTCCCATTTCCACCACTAACATCAAGCTCTACGCCCCAGCTCTGTGATGCCAAGACTTCAAACCCTCGATCCTGATCCTGGTGCCCTCCACTGTCAAAAGTATGCCATGACTACTTCAGCAATCTTCGAAGTTGAATACAGCAGACCAGCAGTTGCACTCAACATTGGGGGTGCTCGCTGTAATCGTTGGCAATAACTCTGGACGCTTGACTCTGAAAAAACCTCTGCAAGCAGGTGATCGGCGCCACCACGAATGAGGAGTACCGGAAGTACGTAGAGAAAGACAAGGCCGGCTGGATGGTGCGGAGGCTAGTCCCCTTAGGCAAGGCTTCGTTGTTGAACATAGTTTGTCCTGCCTCATGACTCCAGCAAAACCCAACAAGCTGACCTCTCCTTGAAGGAGCAAGCAAAATTCAGAATCGACAAGCTAGGGGAATCAGGATGGCATGGGTTCTTGACTTAAGATGATGACCAGCATGCATTCCTGTTTTAGTTCACTCTCTGATCAGTTCAGCAAATATGCGCATAACAAATCGCTGAACCTTCTCAAGCTATTCTGCTACGGAGCTCGGTGAATGGCCGAAAACTCATTTATTCTTGTGTTTGCGGGCTCGCTTACCATCAGGGGAGGCGGTTCTGTTTCTAGGCTGTCTCTGAAGGAACTCCAGGGAAAAAATCAGCAGGCTCTTTATTGAGTTGAGAACACTGGTGATCCTGCATTCTCCTGCCACTGATGCTGCTGCTGCTCCTGCCGTTGCTGTGCTGCTCTAAAGTGCTGGATGCCGCAAGATCAGGAGCAAAGCAAAGCAGGACATGTTTGAACTGGCTGTTTTACAGATGCCGCCAACCGCCCTGTGCCCCGCGTGGTCACCGCAGGAACAACCATGGATGATGGGAAAGGTGTAACTCAACTCGCTACAAGCCCTGGGTAGCACTGAGTTTGCGAAATTCCCCTATTCACCCGTATGAATATCCCACAAGACCCCCTTTATTCACACAGTCTCATAAGCACATGCGTGCACATTTGCTCGCACGTGTGTGTGTGTGTGTACGAACGTAAGTATATGTATTTGTATATACATATGATACACCCTCTACATCATCCTTGAGATCCCCTTAAACAGCCTGAAATGATGACTTTACACGTACACGCGAGGCCCTCGAGCGCCGATTCCAGCCTGTCAAGGCAGGGAGCGAAGGGACAGCGATTTTGGTATCAAAGCTGTATAGGTGTATATCTTAGGGCTTCAGGGTTTGGCCTTCAGTTCACGGCGTAGGGTTTAGGGCTTAAGAGTGGCCTCCAAGACCTGGGGCCGCGTGGAGGGGGCGTGGGCTTATGAAGACCCTTATCTGGACTTCCTTTGAGGTTTTTATGAACGACCTACAACCTCAGAACATGGCTACGACTTTCGAGCGTTTGCCTCAGCATGACTGTGTGGAATGGCCCTTGCATGCCTAGGTTCCCAGGCATCTCTGCTTTCAAGATTTAGTACTATTGGCACTTCAAGGCTTTTGGGGTTCGGGTTTGAGGTCCTGAGTCTCGGGATGTGTTGTTCCACACGCCAACGCATGGAGGGCCTTGGTGCTCGCCAATGTAGTCACAGGCAACCAATTTTCTTCCTGACTCTAAGCCCTATAACCTGAAGCTGGTATCTGGGCTCGTTGGTACCCGTCACGGCAGCATTTTCGTATGATCGCTTTGCTGCCGGGGTGTTGCTGTAGACCAACAATGCTGTCCAAATCAGTTGAGGCTCAGCACAGAAACCTAAATAGATAGCGTTAGGTTAGGTCTTGGGGCATCGTATAAGCTGCCTCAGGTTCCTTTCTGTGCCGAAGCATGTTCAGCCAAGACTGCCCCCCAGCTGGCCGCATCCCCCCGCAACTTCCGAAGTTCGGAGCCATGTCAGCCGTCGACAGCCACATGGATAGATGGTAGTTTCCCAAAATTAGGGTACCCCAATATAGACCCCAATATACTATAGTCCTTATTATGGGGACCCCCAAAATGGTACCCTAATTTTAGGAAACCCCCAGATATGGGAGCCCTGCCCTCCCCCAAGGTAACGTATGGAACCCCAGAATGGGCCTTAAAAGATAATTGCGCGTCCAAAGGACTGTATGAGATATTCTGCGTTGGTTGTTGGGATATCCAACTGATTTGCCGTGGGGGCTAACGGGGGATGTTGTTGACAGGTTTTTTCAAATTGTTCTGAAGATCCGACCTAGTTTTGCAAAGCTCCCAGGGCAGCACAGGTGTAATGGGAGTAAAGCCAAGCTGGTTCATCTGGCAAACACGATCCTAGAATTAGAAATCTCTGACAGCTGTGATGTCTGTCTGATATCTCCATAGTGCAGGGAAGAAAAATGTTTGTGGAGCACTGACACTTCGGATTGCATTCTTTTCGCACACATCACATGTGCCTGCTACATGCACGATTCGGATGGGCATTTACAAGCGCAAGAGAGCCATCATGTGTGCAATGTCTTTTCCTGTGTCACCTTCTGATATCATATGCGTACCATGAGCTTTGCCGTTCATCATGCCTTAGAATCTGTATCCAGATCGAATGCAAATACGGGTGGAAGAACAGAGGATGCTGTCGATTTCTAGACATCCTTCATGACCTTAAGTACCTATGGAATCATAGTAGTCTACTAAACCGAGGTCATGGAGGACTTTTTAGTATCCGGTGATCTTCACAGAGCCCTGCACGTGCAGAAGTTGTAATGTAAGTATTCGGGGGCAGTGAAGACTTCGTACGGCTATGTGTTGTACAGCTAAGAACTTGAGGAACTCGTCCCGTCACATGTTGTCTGACTGTTATGTCTTTTGCTTGATTCAGTCAACCGTCGTGGCCATGTATCGCGTTAGTAAACGAGAAGCAGTTTCGTTATGTTCTCATGCGCCTTCTTCCTTGGCCATCCGCTCCCAAGGGACCCTCGCCTCCTACATCATGGGATCCTAGACTATCCCCCCCCCTTACTTGCCTTCCTTTCGATAAGGCCTAACAAGCCCTAATCAAGCCTTCTTTGGGGTCTATTTGGTGGTTTCCCTAAATCGGGGGACCTCAATAATATAGACTTCAAAATACCACAATCCTTATTCTAGAGAACCACCAACAAAAATTGCATGCCAAATTTTGGGAACCACCCCCCTAATCCGCTCGACATATAATCCCAGCTTCCATTTCATTTTCAATTTTGTTTCCATTTGATCCTCAATTCTTGGGGTAACAAATCTGCTATGTATCCTTATAGAACCCTATATACCCGTCTAAAGGGGTCTAGGGTTCCCAGCTCATTTTCATTTCCATTATTGGGATAACATCCCTATATAACCCCTACACCCCAAACCCTAAGCCCTAAACCCTAGCCCCTACACCCTGAACCCTAAACCCCTAAACCTTAAACCCTAAACCCCCGAACCCGTAAACCCTAAACCCCTAAACCTTAAACCCTATACCCTTAAACCCTATATAACCCCATTACAGTAGTTTCCAATTTCTTTTCCATTATCCCCTTTATAACCCCTATAAACCCTATGTAACCGTATATAACCCCTATAGAACCCCTATACAACCCTATATAGCCCCTATATACCCCTATAGAACCCCTAAAGAGGATTAAAAAGAACCTGCAGACCAAGGCCAGCCATGCTCCCGGTGCAACGGCCACGGCCACCGTGCAGCCCAGTGTAAGATGCCGCAGCTTGGCTTAGGGATTTTAGAGGGTTTAGGGTTTAGGGCTTAGGGTTTAGGGTTTAGGGTTTAGGGCTTAGGGTTTAGGGCTTAGGGTTTAGGGTTTAGGGATGGGGGCCCCAAATTGACAGCGGGCTGCTGGGAGGGTTTGGGAGAGGCCCTTGCAGGCATTATTGTGAGAGAATTCCAAGTGGCCACGGGTCAGGTATCGGGGGTCCCAATTGATGGAATCCCCAGCTTTCCTCAAAGCAACTTCTACATCCTTATCATGCAATGTTTAGAGGTTAAATTTTTTTACTCCAAACCCTTAAACCCTAAATCAGGAGAAGGACCAAACCTCTCCTGGGTAGGCCCTTAGCTTTGTAGGGCTTCAGGGGCCCGGAGCCCCACCCGCGGTCTGTAAACAATCGGCTTGTGCAGAGTTGCAAGTACTCGAAATGTCAGGTCCCCTTCTCAACCAAAACATGTTTTTGAGCACATAACTGGACAGTTAGACCCATGATCGACACTCAACCTAGGACAGGGGCTTGAAAAGTTATCCATTTTGTCTTAGAGGAAGCAAGTTGTCTGCCCAGAAATTTATTGTTTTGACGACGTCGGCGCCTATACCTGTGCAACACTATGCTGTACTTCACTCTGAGACAATACAACAAAGTACTTTGTTTTAAGAAATTATCTTTGCCTTGCTACACGATGCTATGCTATGCTTTGGGCCGCGCCCTGAGGGAACGCCTTGAAGTTCAAGTCCTGGGTAACTGTTTTGCTCTCCTGCAGCTGAGGTTCTACCGCACCTGCGAGTACTGCAAGGCTCGATGCATGCAACCCATTGCACAGCATGATTCCGCTTTATAAGCATGCTTTGGAGCGTAGGTGCAGTCTTTACAGCTTGTAACACCGAGTCGCGAAAGAAGCCATCAGAGCCCGATGTTACATTGGGCTCAGGGGGGTTGTCAGTGGAAACCCCCGGTTGAGATGTCTTGCCTTGTCCAGCAGGTAGTGGGGTTGGAGCGCGTTTTTCAGTCCTGGGCCTCTGAAGATAACGGCAGAATGCGCTTGGGACTGCCCTACACCCCATTCCTTACATGTAGTCTGGCAGCCTCAGCTGGAGACCTTGTAATCCCCTCCTAAAAGCAGTGTATGTTAGCGCAACCCTGAGTCCTAAAACATAGTTACACGGTCCCCCTGCGCCCCAGAGAATCGGCAGACCGTATTCTTCCACATATTCGTAAGCTCTTTCCTCTTGAATTGAACATGAGGTGGTCGGGCACGCGGTAAAGGCCTGCCCCAAGTTGCAGCGCAAGGAGGTGGAGAAAGCTAGCCGAGAGAAGCTCGTAGGGGAATTTCTCCATGGTTTTCACGGACCCTAGAAAGTCCTCATTGGGGATTGTCAGGGATTGGCTTATTCTCTGGGACTTTCCAAGAAGTAGTGGTCCCCTTTCAAAAATTTTAGGGGACCCCAGAATAAGATACGTAGCGCTTGGGGATCTTTACAGGGATCCCCTACTTCTGAAACCTCACCAAGGAAACAGAGGGCCGAGAGGAAGCAGACCAAGACCAGCGACACCGGAAGTGAATCCGGAGCCAGTACCACAGCTTCCTCTTGGGATTCTTGGACCTCTGAGCAAGGCCTTGGGGACTGCCCCGGAAAATATTGGTGCCAAAGGGCGGGGAGTCTAAGCCCTAAAACCCTAGAAGCTCCAAACCATTAAAAGTGACCTGGGGTCTCTGAGGCAAGGGTCTCGTTGCTAGGGCTGAGTTTCAGTGCGGCGTATTTGTGTTGGTGGTTTGTATGGAATTGCAACATGAGAAGCGCCATACATGATTGCAAAGTCCATATCAAACTGGAAAACTTGTTGAAGCCAAGTGTGCCCAAGCTTGAGCCTTGGGTGTTGAGGTTCGCAGGCATGTCGCCGCCAGCCCTAAAAGACGGCATCCCCGCCTGGACCCTCATCAGGGACATGCCGCTATCTTGGTGAGGTTTTGGGGTCGGTTTCGTCTGGGACTCAATTGGGCAACATTCCTTTCTGGAAGGTTGGTGGAAGCAGTGGAAGCCACGCGGCTCCAAGAAGAAGGGCCACTCAAACTGGACCTGGTGGGAGGCTGGGTGCTTCAAAGCGATAAACCGCACCCGAAAGGCTAACCCTGCCCCAAGAGCTAGAAATGCTCTCTACGTACAGGGGATGCTGTTTAAACAACGGGTCATGGGTGGCTGTGTGAGGGAATCTGTAATCCGACCCCACATGACAAGGCCTTGACCACTATATGAGATCCGGATAGCCATTCTTATCTTGAGTCTAGTAACTTCCCTTTTTGTCAAGAGTTTAGGAGCCAGGGACTGGTGCAGAGCATTGGCCCATATTTCAAAGAAACATACAGCCCCAAGAATCAGAATGCCTCAAGAATGGGCACAACTCTGGACTTACCACAGAGTACCAGGGAGCCATGGGAGTTGCCGGGATATTTAGCCAAGAAGCCCTGGAACACGAATCCAAGTGACCAATGCTTGCGACCCCCATGTATATCCCGCCAAAGCTCTGCACGTCAAGTCCTGTTTGATCCGTATACGCCCCGCATAGTCTTTACATGAATGAGGGTTCTTGTGGCCCCAACAAAGAAAGGGTCGAACACAGTTGTGAGAGCAGTACCTTTATCCTAAGGGCTGGTTGCCAAAGAGCCCCAAACCCTCTCCCTCTGGTGGGTAGGCCTGGGTCATGGGGATGGTACATGTGGACTGAGGCAGAGATTTCAGAAAAGCTAGTTGTCGGGAATTCTCGAAGGAATCATAAAAATATATGCTATGGAATCAGCAGAAAGTCTTAGAGGAAGGAATTACAGAGAATACGTAGAGATCATGTGCTTGCCCCCATTGGGGCTGGAGGGATACCACTGGGGGATGGCAGAACGCACCATACATATGATTACGTGATGTATGTCACGAATTATGAAGCTTTTGAAGATCCAGGAGTGGCAGACAAAGGAGTGGGTGCTGAGTGTCGACGAGGAGCGGGAGGCCAGCCAGCACAGAGCATTTAGAGGCGCAGAGGTTCGAGGAATGTGCTGGTTTTTAATAGGGAAAGAAGGAATGAGCATGGACATGGGAACCACTATATTATTGGGGTTACATTAGGGCTACGATGGGCACCCATGCCTCCGTTCCCTGCTAGCAACCAGCAAAGTAGGAAGCAATGCCGGGGGGTATGGGGTCTAGGGTGCAAGGCATAAGATGCGTGCCAGCAACCGTGGCATGAAAACCACCACCATGAGCAACACCATCAGCGGCATCGTGGTCGTCATCACATCATCATCGTCGTTGCCGTCGGTGGCGGCGGCGGTGGTGGTGGTGATGTTGGTGGTGGTTGTCGTCGTCCTCGTCCTCGTCCTCGGCGTCGTTCAGACTATGCCTATGAAGTGAGACCATGAAATAGTACTGCAGTTAGTAGGGAGGAGTATTCACGGTTCTGAGAGTACTTCGCGATAGCAGCAATGCCAAACGCAATGATAGCCATGAGGCCAATGGGTTCGATGCTAGTATGAATGTGCGCCAGAATTTGGGTCCACTGCACTAATGATCCTGCTTTCCTCAGAGGGGTTGCGGGACGTAGGTGCAGGTATTGTGAGCTCTTTCTTGAAGGCCCGGGGGTCCGACTGAGATTGTTGTGATTGACATAATGAGGCTGTGAACATGAAGTTTCCAGCAATTTTGGGTGCATCTTTTGGATGATTTATGATTTGTATTACATTACGTTGGGGTGTATATATTGGGGGCCCCATACTTATGGAAACCCCCAAATCGAGAAGCCCGCTTCAAGCTGGTTGCTAGCCTGTCAGGCCCTAGGCTCCTTGAGGTCCCATGCCTTGGAACTGGTACCCTCACCCAAAGACACGAGAAGCCCAAAAGGTGCCTTGTGAAGAATTGTCTTGACCACAGACCTTTGACACGTAGTTGCAGAAGTTCAACCCTGAAACCATAGCCCAAGCCATAAAAACTCAAACCCTACAGGCTGGATAAACGCTAAACCCCTACTACCCCCGCCCCCCCAATATCCTCTATACTAGTACCATGTATAATCCACTATATAAACCCCTTTAACCCGTCAACTCCAAAGCCTGGGAAAACGTGGCAGGCCCGCAAGCTGGAGAAAAAGCTGAAGGAGATCGCAGCCCCGAAGCGGCGTTGGTGTCGCTGAGGGGTACTTTTAAAGGGGTTGTGCAGTGGTTCGGTGGGGGGTATGTCGAAGGTTTAGGAACCAGATAATTAATGAGGAACAAAATGTAAGGGAACGTAGGACGTGAAACGGAAACTTTGGTTATAACATGGTTTGTAGGGTTGAGGGCAGGGTAGGTAAAGCCGATGCATAACCACGTAATGTCCACTGACAAGCGGCAAGTTCAGGTCCTGGAGCAGCGGGTGGGTGAAGGCAAACAGCTGGATACACTTCAGCTCCAGAAAGCAGCTGTGTCTATAAATGGATGCAGGGGTTTCCCAAAATTGGGGTACCGTTGTGGGGTCCTTATAATAAGGACTCTAGCATTTTGGATTCTATATTAGGGTCCCCCTACTTGGGAAACTACCACGTAGGGAAGGGGTCAAGCAATCAGGGGTGCATAGTTTAGGATTCTCGGGCACGGGAATTGAGGGTTCGGGCCTTGGGGGTTGACGGTTTGACATGGTTTGGGGCTTTGGGTGAGGGTTTGGGAAGTAGGGCGCATCGGATGTTTGAGGTGAATTGTTGGGGCATTGGCATAGCCTATAGGATTGACTATCTGAGACTTAGCCGCGAGCAGAGTTTGGGACTTGGAAAGTCGCGGATGTATGTTCAATAGTCTTCCTTTATTCAAGTCGACACAGTGTGGGGCATATTTGCAATATGTTTCGGGTACACGAGGTGTAGTAGGCAAGGTAGAAGTGACAATAAGAAGGGTTAGTAGCACTCATAGCAAGAGTAACAGGCCAGACATTGAGCCTTATGATCATGCTTTTGCCTAGAACAGGTCTGGACTCAGACGAGGGGACTTGAAAGCCTTCAGTCAACAACCTCAGGCCCCAACGCAAATGAGGCTAGAATTTTGAATGAATTTCTCTAGGAAAAATTGGGGCGCTTAAACTCTAAGATGGACTAGAGTTTTCTTTTGTAAGGAGTGGTATGTATCGCAGCCACTGAAATTACCTCGGGTCTTGGGACGCAGCCGCACTCTACTTAGACATGATCGGTAGTTTTCATTGTGATCCGAACAGGCCATTCAACATTTTTTAATCATGGGCCTAAGGGGACTCTGGAAAGCACTGAGATGCTCAGGTGGACAGGAAGAGTGACATTGAGGGCCACGAGATCCTGCGCAAGGTGCGCTGTGGATACCGCCGTGTCACTCTCCCGGCTGTCGCCGAGTAGTTAAGCCCCTTGCGCAAGTTGGTGGGCGCAATGGAGGGCAGTGTACAGTGTACAGGTCACCACCGCGTTTCAGTGGAACGCTACTGCTGACCACACCGACTTATTCATTCTGCCTTTGATAGACTGGAGAGTCACCTGAGGGTGATCCCAGCTCCAGTAGCTGTGCTGGCGTCAGCAAAGAGTTTGCACGATGGTATGCAGGATTCGCAGGGTAACATTCCGCAAGAAAGTTTCTTGCGCGTGATCTCGGAGCCTGAACCGCTTCTGTCCTGCACAGGCTCTTGAGAGGTAGCAGCACGAGACCCAACAACATCCTTTGAGTGCTGATGCCGAAGCATCCCCTTAAGGCAGCTGGCATTTGGATTATGCGCAGATCTAACATGGGAGAATCCTACTACTCCGGGTCCAGAGCACTTCTAGCTACAGCTCGGACCCCATTCTGGGAAAATGCGATGCGCCAAGTTGTCCACATCGATGTAGTGCAAGCTGATAGGAAATCAAAAGCCTGTGCAACAGTTTGAAGACTGCTATCGACTTGATGTGCATTTCTGCAGGTCTCCTTGTTGATCCTTGCCTTAAACAGGTGGCACGACTATTCATTCCGCGCGTATGCAGTTCATAATTTCAAACAGTTTGCATGTAATTGTATAGTCCCCCCCCCCTAAAATTAACACCCCCCGCACCCCTTATTACTAAAAATGCCCAACATACCACAATGAGGATTAAAACACGTTTGCTGCGTCAACGCAGACACTTGTTAAAGGAAGAGTCCTTAGAAGCTACCGAATGGGGGTTAGTAGGGAGTAGGGGAATATAACCCCTGAATAATCCTTCTATAATATGTTCCTTTATCCCCAGTAACAGTAGGACTACGTAAAGGCTGGGATTTGAACTCATCCGCCACTACTCCAAGGTCCACCATGCCTTACGACTACTACAGGGGCATCCCAAAACCAAATAGGGGTATCATTTTGGGGGGTAGGGGTTATATAGGCATTTGTTGGGATGTATCAGGGTTATGTAGGTTGTAGGGCTTGAATATTTGCCAGTAGCATGGTCCTAGATTCCTTATGTAGTTATGGTATGGGGTACCGAAAACCTCAACATGATATGGGCCATTACGTGTTTAGGCCTTTACACTAGCCTTGTGCTTTTTGAAAACTTCCTGGGGCGGGAAGGGTGTTTCCCGACCCTAAACCCCAAACACTAAACCCTAAACACCAAATGCTAAACACTAAATCCTAAACCCTAGACCCTAAATTCCTGGGGTGGGCAAGGTGTTTCCCGAAGCCTGAGCCCTAGACCCCAAGCCCTTACAGTCGCCAGGTGCCGGAGCCCACAGTGGAGGAGACAGTGACTGGGCCAAGCTTGGAAAATCAACAGCTTCTACTACCAATACTTTTGGGGGGAGCTAAGGAGCTAGGGATAGCCTATATTAATATAATAAGGGGAGCTAAAGAGCCCAGGAATCTCCAAAACCATAGGGGAGTCTAGGAACTCCATCCCAGTATCCATTTTATTTTGCATTTTCTGTTCCATTTGATCTGCAGTAGTGGGGTTATCTCCCTAAACCAGGAGCCCTTCTTTCCAAGGTTCCCAAGAATAAGCTTCATTTTAGCCTTATGTTGGAAGTTTGAGACAGGGGTTTCTCCAATTTATGATCCCCTTGAGTGCCCCATAGAGTCCTTTAAACAATCCTAGCAACCAAAATTCGCTGCGCGAATGTCGGTTACAGCTAGAGGGATGGCTTCCCTGAGGGAGGTCGAGTTTGCAAAGCTCAAGACGGTCTTCCACAGCGTTCTTAAAGCATCAGCTACCCAAACACCCTAATAAAGCATAGAGCCACTCCCAAATGATCCCATTAGTACATTTCGGGGTCTGGGTAGTTTGTTCCGTCCGAAAATCTTCGACCCTGCAACTCGTAGAGCTGAAGTCCGCTGGGCTCTGAAGCCAAGTCGCCGAGTGTGATGAAGCCCCCTAAGCCATGGGTTTTACGGTTTAATGTGGCACCCCTTTTAATGATGGGGGGTCCTCCCCCCCTGAACAATTACCATTCCTGATTAATGCGGCGGCCTCCCCTAAATTTGCCGCGCAATTAAAATCATATGGAACCCTAGAA